GGGGGGAGGGCTATGATAGTTATGGGGCCCTAAGTTGGGAGGGGGGAGGGCTATGATAGTTATGGGGCCCTAAGTTGGGAGGGGGGAGGGCTATGATAGTTATGGGGCCCTAAGTTGGGAGGGGGGAGGGCTATGATAGTTATGGGGCCCTAAGTTGGGTGGGGGGCTATGATAGTTATGGGGCCCTAAGTTCGGTGGGGGGGGGCTATGATAGTTATGGGGCCCTAAGTTCGGTGGGGGGGCTATGATAGTTATGAGGCCCAAAGTTGTGATGCGGAAACAAATTTAAAGAATCAACTTTAAATGCAATGGACCCCAAACCGAAAAGTGGCCGGAAAAGGGGGGAGGGTTGCTTTACATGTCAGGCGACGCCTCTGGAAGAAAATGAAATGTTTGTAAATGAATAAATGTGTCAAAGTGTATGTGGTGCTGTGTCAGAGTGTTTGTGGTGCTGAGTCAGAGTGTTTGTGGTGCTGTGTCAGAGTGTTTGTGGTGCTGTGTCAGAGTGTTTGTGGTGCTGTGTCAGAGTGTTTGTGGTGCTGTGTCAGTGTGTTTGTGGTGCTGTGTCAGTGTGTTTGTGGTGCTGTGTCAGCGTGTATGTGGTGCTGTGATTTGTTTCCTGAGTTTGGATTTTGGTTTATGTTTTGGATCATTTGTTTTTGCTCATGAGTTGGGAGGGCTAGGGCTAGCTGTGATTGTGCTCATGAGTTGGGAGGGCTAGGGCTAGCTGTGATTGTGCTCATGAGTTGGGAGGGCTAGGGCTAGCTGTGATTGTGCTCATGAGTTGGGAGGGCTAGGGCTAGCTGTGATTGTTAAAAGGTTAATACACATGTGAGGAGCTTTATTTGTTGGAAGCACGAGGATATTTGAACAGTGTCCAGTAGTCCATTATTGTGTCCAGTATTTCATTACTGTGTCGAATAGTTCATCAGTATGTCCATTAGTTCTTTATTATTCCAGTAGTTCATCAGTGTTTCCAGTAGTTGTTCAGTATTTCCAGCGGCTATTCAGTGTGTTCAGTATTTCATCGGGGTTTTCAGTAGTTCATCAGTGTGTTAAATAGTTCATCATTGTGTCTAGTATTTCATGGAGGTGTTTAGTGGAGTTCCCCCCTCCCCTCCTTTATTTTCGATAGTCTGGGTGTACAAGTGGGTCATTCGGATTCACCGTCAATTCACTCGAGTTTTGTGATTTAAAAAGAACTCTTTCTTTTGGTCATGAATGTCAGAGTTATTGATTTTTATAGAGCTGTGCATTATGTAAATAACATACCCTAGGTCAACAGCGCAGTAGTGAATAAGTCGTGTTCAACATTTAGTAGGTAAATAGTGCAGTAGTAAAGAAGTGGTGTTAAACATTTAGGAAGTAGTGTTCAACATCTATGAAGTGGTGTTCAACATTTAGAAGGTAAATAGTGCAGTAGTAAATAATTGGTGTTCAACATTTAGGGTGTTCAACATTAGAAGAAGTGGTGTTCAACATTGTGGAAGTGGAAGTTCACGACACATGTGTATGCGATAAATTGCAATGCACACCATGCACTCAAAAGGTGACATACGCACCTAAAAATTCTGGTTTGTTTGGGCACGCCTCTGGTGCTCGTGCTGTGACAAGGTCAAGTTTGGAAGTCTTGAGGTCGCTATAAGATGACGTCATGAGCCCCACCAGTGAGGTGTAGACTGTGAGTAGAATCAGGACGACGACGAGGACAGGCTGGCAACCCGCTGACCCTACACGTGTCAGCTTTCGCGCGATGGTTTGCTGCACCGATGACCTTGACCTTCTATGGTAAGCTGTCGATACATCCAAATAACCATTAACAAAATAGCATTCACAAAAAGTTCTAACAATTGACAGTTACTAGCCTTACCATTGAACAGCAAGTTCTAACAGAACCAGTTTATTGACACCCGCCGTGTTTGGCTTGTTGTGGTCCACTTGGCGATAAGGAGCTGTTTGGATGTTTGCTTTGAGTTGCTATCCTCCTTGACACACACACACTCATAGTCGCAACAGTTCAAGTAAGGCAGACTGCGCTGGACTGGACACTATGAGGCGATGCTGGATTGTAGAGCAGCAAAAGTGATCTATAGGCAGAAACCTAGGAGCAGACGGCTCACAGGTCGAACAAGTCTGAGATGTTGCTTACCTAGGAGCAGACGGCTCACAGGTCGAACAAGTCTGAGATGTTGCTTACCTAGGAGCAGACGGCTCACAGGTCGAACAAGTCTGAGATGTTGCTTACCTAGGAGCAGACGGCTCACAGGTCGAACAAGTCTGAGATGTTGCTTACCTAGGAGCAGACGGCTCACAGGTCGAACAAGTCTGAGATGTTGCTTACCTAGGAGCAGACGGCTCACAGGTCGAACAAGTCTGAGATGTTGCTTACCTAGGAGCAGACGGCTCACAGGTCGAACAAGTCTGAGATGTTGCTTACCTAGGAGCAGACGGCTCACAGGTCGAACAAGTCTGAGATGTTGCTTACCTAGGAGCAGACGGCTCACAGGTCGAACAAGTCTGAGATGTTGCTTACCTAGGAGCAGACGGCTCACAGGTCGAACAAGTCTGAGATGTTGCTTACCTAGGAGCAGACGGCTCACAGGTCGAACAAGTCTGAGATGTTGCTTACCTAGGAGCAGACGGCTCACAGGTCGAACAAGTCTGAGATGTTGCTTACCTAGGAGCAGACGGCTCACAGGTCGAACAAGTCTGAGATGTTGCTTACCTAGGAGCAGACGGCTCACAGGTCGAACAAGTCTGAGATGTTGCTTACCTAGGAGCAGACGGCTCACAGGTCGAACAAGTCTGAGATGTTGCTTACCTAGGAGCAGACGGCTCACAGGTCGAACAAGTCTGAGATGTTGCTTACCTAGGAGCAGACGGCTCACAGGTCGAACAAGTCTGAGATGTTGCTTACCTAGGAGCAGACGGCTCACAGGTCGAACAAGTCTGAGATGTTGCTTACCTAGGAGCAGACGGCTCACAGGTCGAACAAGTCTGAGATGTTGCTTACCTAGGAGCAGACGGCTCACAGGTCGAACAAGTCTGAGATGTTGCTTACCTAGGAGCAGACGGCTCACAGGTCGAACAAGTCTGAGATGTTGCGTTTTGGGTTAAAGAATGGGGATTTTTTTATTATTTTTTGGGGGGAGGGGGCGGGGAGAGAGGGGGGGACTATGAGACGAGACACATTTTCTAAAGAGAGCAATTTTTTTCTTTCTTTTTCTTTTTTTGCTATTCATCACAACATAAATAATTTTCTCGTTTTATATTGCAAGCCTGAATATCAAGACCTTTATATGGTACGGAACTGACAATTTATTTTCATTGACGTCACCAAGGAGATCTTTTCATTTTTTTCACTTCTTCTAAGGTTTTTTTAGGTTTTTTTTTTAGGGGTGAGGGGATTAATATTTTTAGTAGCTTTAATTTAGGGTGAGGGTAAGGATGTTTAGGAGTCCTGCAACATATATAGTGCTGTGTCATCTTGTCAGCAGTTCGTTTACAGAGGTTTTTTATGTGGGATTATTCATGTTCATGTTCAAACCACCCAGAGCCAACCAAGGGGATTAATCAATCTGCTAGGATTTAACCTGAGGCCAACGAAGTTTGGATGTGTGTGTGTGGGGGGGGGGTTGCGTAGTTACAGCTTTGAACGTCATTGTATACTTTCATTAATGTTTTATGCAGTGGTTTAGAGAAGTTAATGGTTGAAACAAGATGGACGAACGTGGTGCAGTGCATTTCCCATCAAACATAACTGGGGTAAATGACAACCCCCTCTACCAAAAAAAAAAAGGTTTGAGAACACCACCATGCCACTCCCCTTCACCCTAACAGCTAACCTGCTTGCAGCGATGATACCAGTAGCAGCCAAAGCCGCTGAACTATAAATAGTATCTTCATTGTATCCATTCACCAACACCAAGCTATGTTATAGTCGGCCATGTTTTTTGACGTCATCACCGGAAGCTTATTCAACGATTTGTTCTTTTATAGTAATTAAAAATATTTACTTCGCAACTACAAGGAGGAGCCAAAATGATCAATAAATTGATCGTGGGCCCTTAAGATATAGAAGAAGAAGAAAAAAATTATATTCTTAAAATACATTTATCACAAGCATTTCTATTTCGAAATTAATTTAGGATATCAAAAATAAAACAGGAAAGGTGTCCACCTTATTTTCCAGTTAATGCATAATTGGCTGTGTTGCTCAGGGTTGAAATGGCTAGAAAGACTTTGCCATTGGATGCTTGTAATTAGTTTTTGGGTGGTTGCATTTGTTTTAAATGTGGTAAATTATAGATTTGTTTTTTGTTGACTTTGTACCGCGCTTCGAGCCTTTGGGGATGAAGCGTGTTTTTGAAATGAACTTTATTATTATTATTATTATTATCAAAATACAAAGTAATTATTTCAACATATTATTTTAATATTGAAAACAAGACACATTCCAACAATCAGCCAGTTGGTGGCCCAAAAGCATTTTGATTGGTTTAACCACCTGGTCAGAATACTTGTCATCTCACCCACATTGCAAATCATCTAACCCACGTTGGAAGTCATCTCACCAACATTGCAAACTTCCAATAGCAGGCTCTCAGGTTTCAAGGCCATAGGACGACAAGTTCAGTGATGGATTAACTAAGATAACGACAACCTAAAAGTCCACAACTTGAATCTTGAGCAGATCAACCGAGCTAAGGACACCCTAAATGTCCACAACTTGAATCTTTAGCAGATCAACTGAGTTAAGGATATCCTAAAAGTCCACAACTTGAATCTTGAGCAGATCAACCGAGCTAAGGACAACCTAAAGGTCCCCAACATGAATCTTGAGCAGTCCTAACAACTGGCGACCTATCTCCCAATATATCTTCCTACGATGCCGCCCCTGTAGTGGCGGGCGTAAGAAGTATCAAGGAGTCCAGGTCAGGTTTGTTTCAAACTGGGGACGGTGTGTCGCGAAATGTTCTACCTCGCAACTGTTCCTAAAAAGTTAGATCACCCTTGGGTTTTTCAGGTATCCTAGGATTGTCGCAGGGGCGTTGGGGAATTTTATCAGGAATTCTTTTTTCATTAAATTGTTAGTTGTTTAAAAGCTGATCATTTAAAAAAAAATAAAAAAAATACAGCACTTTTTTCAGACTTCGCCACATAGACAAATCCAACCCTGGAAGATGGAAGCTTGAACTGTAATTGTGTTTGAGACTTTGATAGAATAAAATATCTATTTATAGATTCAGCTGCCTAGGCAAGGCGCGGAGAATGGTTCTAAAAAATTTGAAGGTTTTACAAACATATCTCATCCCATAGTCCCCAGTTCAATGTTTTAATAGAATTTGTCTTTTAATGGCGGAAATCTATTAATATAACCACAGGGCATACAGTCTGGCCATTCTCATTAAGATATTAATAACACATCCGGGTATTCCGTTTGGCCAAACTCTCAACAGCTGTTCGGTACTTCTACGTTAATGTGAGCCGGCACAGTGGGTCTAAAACTAGAGGAAAACATGTTTACAAAGATATTTTAGGGAAGATTTTACAAATAAATTGTTACTACCATATATATGCGGAGACACATTAAATATAAGCTATTATTTTACGAAAACCTGGTCTAAAAATAATAACATAACATAATGCAATAAGATGTTTTCTGGTCATTGAAACAACAAACACTGTAGGAAACAATTGTTTCCTCGTTGCTAGTAATATTTATTTCTGAAGAATTCTATTTTATTTAGTTTCTTGACGTTTCGTTTTTCTACACTATTTTTTTCTTTGGAAGCTTTGATTATGTTGTATTACTTTGCCACGGATGCGTTACATGTGGAGGGCCCCCCACCTACAGACCCATCGTGTTACATTTGGAGGGCCACCACCCACAGAGCCGTCGTGTTGCATTTGGTGGCCCCCACAGAGCCGTCGTGTTGCATTTGGAGGGCCCCCACCCACAGAGCCGTCGTGTAACATTTGGAGGGCCCCCCACACACAGAGCCGTCATGTTACATTTGGAGGGCCCCCCACACAGAGCCGTCATGTTACATTTGGAGGGCCCCCCACACACAGAGCCGTCACGTTACATTTGGAGGGCCCCCACCCACAGAGCCGTCGTGTTACATTTTTCGGTTTCATGACTGCCCACAGAGTTGACTGTTTAAATTTTTCTACATCACAATTTTTGGCCCCTCAAATATCCAAGCCCCCCACCCCTCACTCATGCCTCGGCGGTTGCTGCGTGGGGGGGGGTGGGTGCTGCGTCCACGTGACAGCTCACCAAGATAGCAAATGCCTTACGTTGAGTATTTCCTGACAGTGACAGACTCTTCGTTGTCTGCACGGACTCTCCATTGTCTGCACAGACTCTCCGTTGGCTGCACAGACTCTCTGTTGTCTACACGTAGAATACGAGCGAGTGACAGTTGTATTTCCCTGCTGCTTTCTCACATTGGGACAAGAACTTGACTGCTATGTGATGGGATCATTTTCAAAACCTCTACGACAAGCAAAGGGTCTTCAGATAACTTTAATGTTTCTTGTCTGACATATACATCGAACCTATTTAATGAGTCTAAATTGACTGATTTTGCTATCTAGTCTCACTAAAATATGTTTAAATTGACTGACCTAGTCTCACTAAAATATGTTTAAATTGACATATTTTTCTATCTAGTCTCACTAAAATATGTTCAAGTTGACTTAAGTCTATGTAGACTTACTAAAATATTTTTAAATGACTGATGTCTATGTAATAACATTAAAATATGTTTAAATTAACTGATTTAGTCTCACTAAAATAAGTCTAGCTTAACCTATGCCTATCATCGCATAGGTGTGTATTGACATATGTCTTACGTCTCACAATTACACATCTATATTGCCATACGTATATTTTATTCCACTTATGTTTTCATAAACATACATCTCTTTTGTCTCGCTAAGCTAGGTCTAAAATTGACGAATGTCTATTTTGTATCACTCAAATTGGTCCATGTTGGTAACTATCAACTTAAAGCACTACTATATGTCTATATATAGACATCATTTGTTGTTGTTCGTCCGTCGAAATCGACTAGGACCATCAAGTCATCCGGTTAGGGGGAAGGGGGTGTTTACGGTGAGCTAGTAGGTTGCTTGCTAGACCGATCCTTGCTCGGAATAATCTCTGGCACCACGGGCAGAGGATAGTTGCTGCAGACGGTGACCTGATGTTGCTCTTTCGGGCCAGCCTGCGTGTCTCAGCTGTGGTTTGCCTACTAGCTTCATGGGATTTAGCCCCCTTCTTGATAGCTGCTCTTCACCTGCCTCTGTCCTGGGCTGTCTGCACCCATTAATTAGGGTTTATGCTGAAGGTCTTTAGTGCCACTTTCATTGAGTCTTTGTAACGCTTTTTTTTTTGACCTCCTTGGGAGCGCTTGCCTATCGTGAGTTCTCAGAAGAATATCTGTTTTAGTGTACAGCGGACAGATTCTTCAGGAAGTTACCAGTGTGATACTTATAACTGGTGCACACTTCACATAGCCATCCGTTGTCCGTGGTGACGTTGACACATGACATACAATGGTTCAAAGGAAATTTAAAAAGTCTAAAATGAAGTGACAGCCGGCGTTTCAGAACATGATGTAACATATTTTATTATCTGGCGTGACATGTTATATTTAAAAAATGCGGCGTGACATATGAAATTTTAAGACATAGTATGGCATTTGACAATGTTTACTGTGACTAGACGAGTAGGAGATATCACACTATTTTAAACTTGCCCAATGAGATGTTGCGTACATTTTTCTTGGCTTTCAATAAATGCTTGGGAACTGTCTGTGAATCAAAGAAATAAGATGGGTAGATTGGTGGGACAAATCGTCCCCCTAGAATAACAGTGTTCTATGTGACCTTTTGGTCAAACCGAGATATTCGTGTTTGAAAATTTGATGTTTGGTATGGATCAACTCAAAACGTTATTATAAAATTTGTTGTTGTTTTATGTTGATATTATCAATACAAGGTTTCGATCATTCAAATGAAGGTTCAAGGTATGGATTTTGATTTTATATGATTTTTTGAAATTTTCGATAGAACCTTTCAATTCTGAAAATCCTATTTCACTTTAGAATAACAAGGTTCTATTTATTTAACTCTATGATTTAAGTAGTTCCTTTCAAGAATAAATGCATATTCATTATTTAGATCACAAATACTAACAAGACAAAATCATTTACCTATTATATTTAAAGTAAAGACAGAAAATATTTCCTCGTATATAGTTTCTTTGTAGTAATGTATTATTACAAACTCAAACATAAACATTAATTAGACCATAACATGTTTTACACACAAACGTGAAAATTCTGCATTATTTTCATTCAAAACCAGCCACCATACGACAACAAGTAACATAATGATGTTGCTATCGTATTGCCTGTCTAACTCAGACATGAACTTGATCACGTCTCTAAAATCTGTTTTCTTAGCTTCAGACAGGTTATTAGATGACATCGCCGTCTTTGGTTGAGGCAACAAATACTTGCGTTGATTTCATTGGGACACAACTTCTCGTGCTTTTAGGTTTTCTTACATTGATGTTTTCACATGCTATGTCCATATATATGGCTAAATCTACAACCAACCAATGGCTCATTTGTAAATTTCATTACTCGGTACACATACTTTGGAATATTTTACACTCTAGTATTGAAACTTATCAATCAATACTTTAAGTGCCTGTTTTAAAATATTTAAAGTCAATTGGCCTCAATGCTTCATGAGTTTATAAGGTGTCGTATGTTTACAGTTTTAAGGACTCTTAGTAGATTTAGTGGTGAAAACACTTCACCTGGCAATGGATAATATTAGCACTGCTATCAGCATCATATTCGCTTGTCGAGGAGCTTTAAAAACTATTTGCTAGTGATAATATAAAATGATTCAAACAAAGTAGGGTTAAACCTGACAAAAAATGGAGCGCAACAAAACAAAGTTTTTTTTTTTTTTTTTTGTTTTTTTTTGTTTCACTGCGTTCTTTTTTTCAGGTTTAACCCTACTTTGTTTTATTAGTTTTGATATTGTGCTAAACGGATTGCCGTCTCTCTCTTCAAATACCCTATTTTCTATTTACAAAGTTTTTTTTTTTTTTTTTTTGTTTTTTTTTGTTTCACTGCGTTCTTTTTTTCAGGTTTAACCCTACTTTGTTTTATTAGTTTTGATATTGTGCTAAACGGATTGCAGTCTCTCTCCTCAAATACCCTATTTTCTATTGAAGTGGCCGCCATTATGAATGTAAACAATCCGTGACCATTGAGGTAACGGTAGATAGCAAGCCTATGATTGGCTGAAGGACCGAACTCATTTTACAAGCTGAATTTTTATTGGTTCACCATAAATAGCATCTGGTTAAAACTAAAAATGTACGTCAGAACTTTGTTATTCTCAAATGAAAGGCCAACCTCCAGTTAGAACCCTGTTATTTTGTATTTACCGCAAAATCGGCTCATTTTAAAGCTTCCATCTTTTGTACCATGATAGAAGGTTTGATTAACTGTTGCACTGGGGAAATAACTCATTTAAAAAGAAAAAAATCGACTTAGAACCTTGTTATTCTAGGGGGACGAAATGTCTATTTCAATAAAAGCTTGGAAACTGTCGATGAATAAAAGACATGATATGGGTAGATTGGTGTGACAAATGTCTATTTCTATGTCTGTATGTCTATTGTATGTCAACTGTCTGTCCACGGAATAGCCATTGTATGTCCATTGTATGTCCATTGTATGTCCATTGTATGTCCACTGTATGTCCTCTGTATGTCAACTGTATGTCTATAGTATGTCGACTGTATGTCCATTGTATGTACACGGTATGTCCACGGTATGTCCACTGTATGTCCACTGTATGTCAACTGTATGTCCACAGTCCACTGCATATCGACTGTATGTCAATCGCACTCATTGGTCGTTGAATCAATGGTCCACTTCCCCGAGTCTCAAACCTAAGCAGTAGAGACTTGCGACCTTTCATAGTTCAGATATTTCTGCTTTTGGCGTAGGCGCGTGTTAGTCGCATTTATTTTTCAAACTTTTTTTTCGCAATAAGTGGCACTGTACTCTTTAGCCCAAAGTGGCGCCCTTGTTAATGACCACATCAAACAACAGAGTTACTATCGCTTTAAATGCTCAGATGTCATTTAACCACCTTGCTCCAGAGTTACCTACCGCTAGAATTGTATCCTTGTCAAAGTCCACACCTATCCATGTGTAGACTGGTAGCTTCCTAACAAAGCTGGTGTTGTAGATGACCGTGTTGAGACCATCTACATCCTGTCTGTCTTTGCGTGTGGCAAACGTCTTCAATCTGGCAGAGGAAGAATTCAAGACAGATTTACAGTGGACATTGGTCAAAAGAATGACACGAATTTACATTGGACTTTGGTCAGTGATATGATTCAATATAAATTTACAGTGAGCATTGGTCAGAGAAATGATTCAATACAGATTTACAGTGGAAATTGGTCAGAGAAATGATTCAATACAGATTTGTAGTGGATATTGGTCAGAGGAATGATTAAATACAGATTTACAGTGGATATTGGTCAGAAGAATGATTCAATACAGATTTACAGTGGATATTGGTCAGAGGAATGATTCAATACAGATTTACAGTGTATATTGGTCAGAGGAATGATCCAATACAGATTTACAGTGGATATTGGTCAGAGGAATGATTCAATACAGATTAACAGTGGATATTGGTCAGAGGAATGATTCAATACAGATTTACAGTGGATATTGGTCAGAGGTATGATTCAATACAGATTTACAGTGGATATTGGTCAGAGGTATGATTCAATACAGATTTACCGTAAACATTGGCCAGAGGAATTTATGAAATGAAAATTTACAGTGAACATTGGCCAGAGGAATTTATGAAATGCAATTTTACAGTGAGCATTGGCTAGAGGAATTTATGAAATGCAAATTTGCAGTGAACATTGGCCAGAGAAATTTATGAAATGCAAATTTACAGTCAACATTGGTCAGAAAAATTTATGAAATGCAAATTTACATTGAACAATGGTCTGTGAAATGATTCAATACATATTTACAATGAATATTGGTCAAAGGATTGATTTAATACAGATTTACAATGAAAATTGGTCAAAGGAATGATTTAATACAGATTTACAGTGGACATTGGTCAATGGAGCGATAACAGATACAGTCGAACCCGCTTATCTCGACCTCGGTTAATTCGCCAACCCTGTTAGGTCTACGTTTTTGAAGTGGAATAGCCAAATTCTGCATTTTCCCCTCGATTATGTCGATTCTTTTATGTTGCCGAGCCCTGATATCTCGAGCACAAAAAGCTGGGCAAATTTGTCACTTAACCTCGGTTATCTCGATCCTCATGAGCAATCGGCACTATATGAAGTCCGCAAGAAGAAATAGCAAACAACAAATAAACAAAGATTTCATAATTACAAATAATTATTCATTTTTCAAAATACAGGATTTGTGTTTTAGAATGAACCAAGAAGTAATTTAAATACATATGTATTAATTCGAGGTTTAAAACACGGTAGGATCCATATTATAAATAATCATAATGTGCCGTGTGCAAAACGTTGTCATGGGCAGCCATTCACGGTCACTTGCATAATGGCTATGCCGTGGCACTACGTCAGATCTTCATTCATAAGAGTTTGCAGTGTGCAAAAGCTATTAAACCATTGGTCAGGGAAAGCTTTAATTAAATATTCATGTGCAAAAGTTAAGTGTTCAAAATAAGTAGTCCCTAAATAGTATTTTAGTAATAAGGTGATGTGTTGCATTATATAGTCATTGCGCATGACACGATCAGCATAATGAGGTCACAAAATATGGCGGCTTCGTCAATAGTAGAAAATACCAAACGAACTCGCACTTTAAAAATTCGTAGCTAAAAAGTACTAACGTTAAAAAAAATTGATTCTGGCTTCATTTTTATAAATTGAAATTTGATCTAAATATCTGAAATATTTTATTAAAAATATTTATAATTTTTTATACTAAAGAACCTGCATTTATTAACGCGCATCGTGTACATAAAGAAATTTAAAACACATGTAATATATTGCCCTCAATATGGGTTTTCGGTTATCTCGATCATCGGTTATCTCGATCATCGGTTATCTGGAAACCTTTTTGGCAAACCCTGGGGCCGTCGAAATAATCGAGTTTCCTGTACCTCAGACTAAGGTTGTTTGATTCAGGATATCATAAGATTGGCCTTTTTTAAAAAATACCAAATCTTGCCATCAATTTCCTGATAGTGACTTAACTGAGAATTATTTCCCAATAAAAACTTAACTAAGACATTTTCATAGAGACGTAACTAAGACATTATTCCATAAAAACTTAACTAAGACGTTACTTTTTTCATAAAGACTTAATTAAGGCATATTTCCTTATAAAGACTTACCTAAGGCATATTTCCTTATAAAGACTTAACTAAGGCATATTTCCTTATAAAGACTTAACTAAGGCACATTTCCTTATAAAGAGTTAACTAAGGCATATTTCCTTATAAAGACTTAACTAAGGCATATTTCGTTATAAAAACTTAACTAAGGCATATTTCCTTATAAAGACTTAACTAAGGCATATTTCCTTATAAAGACTTAACTAAGGCATATTTCCTTATAAAGATTTAACTAAGGCGTATTTCCTTAAAAGACTTAACTAAGGCATATTTCCTTATAAAGACTTAACTAAGGCATATTTCCTTATAAAGACTTAACTAAGGAATATTTCCCCATCAAGTCTTTACTAAGAAACATTTCCCCATCAAGTCTTATCTACGATATATTTCCCCATCAAGACTTATCTAAGACATATTTTCTTATCAAGTCTTAACTAAGACATATTTTCTTATAAAGACTTAACTAAGGCATATTCCCCATAAAGACTTGACTAAAACATAGTTTGCCAAAAGACTTAACTAAGGCATATTGGCCCATAAAGACTTAACTAAGACTTAACAAGGATAGCATAAAGAGCGACTTCAAAATACTTTGTCTCTTGTCCCTGTTGTCTTTGCTATTATCTGATCTACTTTACTACCTCTCTGATTGGCTTCCACCGAATGCTCTATATGCCTTTCCAACCACGTCTCTGCTTGGCTTCTCACTACTTCTCTTCTTGGCTTCCCACTATTTCTCCACTTGCCTTCCACCTAAATCTCTACTCACCTTTCCATTTCTAATTTTCTTGCCTTCTCACTACTTTTCTATTTGCTCTTCTCACTACTTTTCTATTTGCTCTTCTCACTACTTTTCTATTTGCTCTTCTCACTACTTTTCTATTTGCTCTTCTCACTAATTTTCTATTTGCTCTTCTCACTACTTTTCTATTGCTCTTCTCACTACTTTTCTATTTGCTCTTCTCACTACTTTTCTATTTGCTCTTCTCACTACTTTTCTATTTGCTCTTCTCACTACTTTTCTATTTGCTCTTCTCACTACTTTTCTATTTGCTCTTCTCACTACTTTTCTATTTGCTCTTCTCACTACTTTTCTATTTGCTCTTCTCACTACTTTTCTATTTGCTCTTCTCACTACTTTTCTATTTGCTCTTCCATGCACATTACTTTCCTAACGCTTTTCTCAAACCATACGTTTGGTGACTGGTAGGTTGTCCCCTATCCTTGTAAGTTCTCCCATAAGCTTGGGGACTCTCCCCTATCCCTGTAAGTTCTCCCATAAGCTTGGGGACTCTCCCCTATCCTTGTAAGTTCTCCCATAAGCTTGGGGACTCTCCCCTATCCTTGTAAGTTCTCCCATAAGCTTGGGGACTCTCCCCTATCCTTGTAAGTTCTCCCATAAGCTTGGGGACTCTCCCCTATCCTTGTAGGTTCTCCCATAAGCTTGGGGACTCTCCCCTATCCTTTTAAGTTCTCCCATAAGCTTGGGGACTCTCCCCTATCCCTCTAAGTTCTCCCATAAGCTTGGGGACTCTCTCCTATCCTTGTAAGTTCTCCCATAAGCTTGGGGACTCTTCCCTATCCCTGTAAGTTCTCCCATAAGCTTGGGGACTCTCCCCTATCCTTGTAAGTTCTCCCATAAGCTTGGGGACTCTCTCCTATCCTTGTAAGTTCTCCCATAAGCTTGGGGACTCTTCCCTATCCCTGTAAGTTCTCCCATAAGCTTGGGGACTCTCCCCTATCCTTGTAAGTTCTCCCATAAGCTTGGGGACTCTTCCCTATCCTTGTAAGTTCTCCCATAAGCTTGGGGACTCTTCCCTATCCTTGTAAGTTCTCCCATAAGCTTGGGGACTCTCCCCTATCCTTGTAAGTTCTCCCATAAGCTTGGGGACTCTTCCCTATCCCTGTAAGTTCTCCCATAAGCTTGGGGACTCTTCCCTATCCCTGTAAGTTCTCCCATAAGCTTGGGGACTCTTCCCTATCCTTGTAAGTTCTCCCATAAGCTTGGGGACTCCTCCCTATCCTTGTAAGTTCTCCCATAAGCTTGGGGACTCTCCCCTATCCTTGTAAGTTCTCCCATAAGCTTGGGGACTCTCCCCTATCCTTGTAAGTTCTCCCATAAGCTTGGGGACTCTCCCCTATCCTTGTAAGTTCTCCCATAAGCTTGGGGACTCTTCCCTATCCTTGTAAGTTCTCCCATAAGCTTGGGGACTCTCCCCTATCCTTGTAAGTTCTCCCATAAGCTTGGGGACTCTCCCCTATCCTTGTAAGTTCTCCCATAAGCTTGGGGACTCTCCCCTATCCTTGTAAGTTCTCCCATAAGCTTGGGGACTCTTCCCTACCCTTGTAAGTTCTCCCATAAGCTTGGGGACTCTCCCCTAACCTTGATGAGGTCTTGACGGTCAAGTTGTCATTAGTTAAGTGTTGACCGAGACACTGACCTGTCGGGGTTCCTATCCCAGCCTTTGTCCGGGGAATGGGCTACCATGTCGTAAACCCCAACCCTCATATTTTTCCTCAGCAATGTCAAATTTTTGTTGGCAGCTCTGTGAACAGGAAAAACATTGGTATCAGAAGGAAACTTATAGCCAGTTGTGGTTGTTCAACAGTGAATAAAGAAATGGTCGATGTCTAGTCGTACATCATAGAAAGTGTTTCCTTAAGAACAAAATATCAAACACTCTGTATCATAAATGTAAAAACGATTCAAGGAGGTAGCTGACAATACATCATCTCCTGATATGGCCAGCTAAGTTTGAGCAAGTTTGGTTGCGGGTGGGGGGGGGGGCGGGGGAATTCACGTGATCTAAGATACAATAAAAGTACAGCTGATATCAAGCTTATATTGCAGCATTGACGTGTCTCAGGTTTACCATAAGAAAGTTACCTGTCTCAGTGTTACCACTAGAAAGCTACCTGTCTCAGTGTTACCACTAGAAAGTTACCTGTCTGAGTGTTACACTGGAAAGTTACCTGTCTCAGTGTTACCTTTGGAAAGTTACCTGTGTCAGTGTTACCCATTAGAAAGTTACCTGTCTCAGTGTTACCACTAGAAAGTTACCTGTCTTAGTGTTACCACTGCAAAGTTACCTCTCTCAGTTTTACCACAGTTCAAGGTCAGAATCTACCCTCCCAGATTTCTCCCTAAATCCCTCATTCTCCACACCAACGGACCTTCAGAGTTTTCAGCCACCAAACTGCTCTACTCCTATGTGCTGCACACACTGCTCTACTCCTATGTGCTGCACACACTGCTCTACTCCTATGCGCTGCAGTCAGAAAGACAAATCGAAACACAGACCATTGCGCATATTGAAGGTGAACCTTGAATATGCAAGCGGAAAGAGAGCCGAGATAGCAAACTTGATCAGCAGCTTCACACCTGACATCATCTTGGGCTCAGAAACATGGCTGAATCCCTCCATAGCCAACACAGAGGTTGTACCGGATATGTACAAACTATTCCGGCAAGACGGAAAAGACAGAGGAGGAGGAGTACTTGCTGCTGTCCATGACAGCCTGGATTGTCACGCTGTTCCAGAACCAAGCCTGAGGAGGCTTGATGTGTCACAGAGAGCAATGCAGTCGAAGAACTTTTCCCTCCTTATAGGCGGAGATTTCAACTTTCCTGGTTGGAACTGGCAGATTCCTGCCTTGAAGCCCAAGTCCCCATACCCGGTCCTACACTCTGAATTCATGGAGATGATTAACAACCATGGTCTGGAACAGATGGTTAATGAAGTCACAAGAGGGGAAAACACTCTCGACCTACTCCTAACAGTCCACATCTTATCCCAAGAGTTGAAATCATATCTGGGATATCAGACCACTACATACCGTACTGCGAATTTTAAGTCAGCGCGCTTAAAAAGAAACAGGCTGTGAGAGAAATCCCCATTTATGAAAAAAGGCAGACTGGGATAGCCTAAGAAGTGCAACGACTGAGCTGAGTTCAAACATGCATGAGATTCAGTGAAATGCGACAACAGAAGAGCTGTGAATGAAATTTAAGACAACAATCACTGATGCAGTGAAAAAATTCATACCACACAAGATCTCAAAACCTAAGACAAATCAACCATGGGTTACGGCTGAAATCCGTTGGCTCATACAAAGGAGAGACCGCCAGTATAACGAATGAAGAAGAATGGCTCGGTCGAACTAAAAGCAAAAGTATTGAGGCTCCGTAGAAACATCCAACGCTTACTGCGCATATCTTACTGGAGCTACCTGAACGGCATCTTCTCAGAGGAAGATACAACCGCCAAGAACAAGCGGTTCTGGAGCTATGTCAAGCATCAAAGGTCATCAAATACTGTGGTCTCCCCCCTGAGATGGGAAGGCAAGTTGACGTTTGAATACAAAGAACAGGCGGACATACTCAATCAACAGTTCCAGTTGGTCTTTGGGGATGGTAGAGAGTACTCAGAAGTTGAGTTCCTTCTGAAGACCAACATGATGAGCACAGCCTACCCTGCCATGGAAGATATCCAGATTTCAGAGAAGGCTGTCCTGGAACTTCGTAAAACCATTGACCCCTACCAGGCATGTGGTCCTGACAACATCAAACCACGAGTCTTAAAAGAATTGGCCACTGAAATCGCTCCTGCAATAACAATCCTCTTCCAATCGTCTCTATTCACAGGCAACGTTCCAACTGACTGGAGAACAGTGCATGTCACACCAATCTACAAGAAAGGGGAGCATTCAGACCCTGCCAACTATCCTCCGATATCCCTCACCAGCGTGGTCTGCAAACTGTTGAAGCACAGAATCGTAAGCACAGTCATAAAGCATCTTGAAAGACACAATATACTGAATGACTGTCAACATGGCTTTCGAGTCAACAGAGCATGTGAGACCCAACTCCTTGAATTTGCTGAAGAATTGACGACCAACTTGGAGAACAGCAAGCAAACTGATGTGCTTGTGCTGGACTTTTCAAAAGCGTTTGACCGTGTCAACCATAGCTTGCTATTACACAAACTGCAGAGATATGGGACCCATGGCACTACCAAAACATGGATCTCTAGCTTCCTCAGCGACCGATGCTAGACAGTAGTGGTGGATGGCACAACCTCCGCCTTTGTCGGCGCTAAGTCAGGGCTCAGTGCTAGGCCCTTGTTTGTTCCTAGCATATATCAATGATCTGCCCGAGAAGCTGACCTCTCAAGCAGACGACACGGCGGTATATAGGAAAATCGTCAACAGTTCTGACCAAAGCCAACTCCAACAAGACCTCAATCGGTTAGCTGAGTGGGAGATGAGCTGGGACATGGAATTTCATCCCGTCAAGTGCCAGACCCTGTCAGTCTCCAGAAGCAGATCTCCTCTACGCCAATCTTACAAATTGCATGGCCATATTCTTGAGCCAGTTTCCTCAGTTAAGTACCTTGGTGTTATCATTCAAAGAGAGGTCCGCTGGGACGAGCATATTAACAGTGTGTGCAACCGGGCAAATAAGACCCTGGGGTTCCTAAGGCGAAATCTGAAGATCGGCAACTCAAGCGTGAAAGAAAAAGCCTATAAAGCCTTTGTCTGGCCGCTTTTAGATTACCCATCTTCAGTCTGGGACACATTCACCCAGAGGAGCATTGACAGGTCGGAGGCGGTCCAGCGACGGGCAGCACGCTTTGTCATGAACCGCTACAGAAACACCTCAAGTGTTGGCAGCATGCTAGAAACACTGGGCTGGTCTACATTGGAAGAACGACGACGACTATCCAGGCTCACCATGTTGTACAAGATAACAAATGGGCTGGTCCACTGCTCCAGAATCAAACAGAAACTCGTTCCTCTTCCCCCCAGACTGCGACGAGGCCACGACAGACAGTTCCGGCTGGTAAAAACAAGAACAAAGTACAGGAGCTCCTCATTCCTGCCGAAGACAATAGGGAACTGGAACAAGCTTTCAAAAGGAACGGTTGAGGCGACAAAATTAGACACATTTGTGTCTATTGCCTCCTGTATTCCAACCCCCAGGTCGTAACACCACTGCCGAGTAGCCCTTGCAACCAGTGAAGTATCCCTTTGAAACCCATGCACAGAAAAATCGCGAACCCCTTTGAATCATTGGAGCCAGAATGATCAATTCATTGATCGTGGGCCCTCAAAATAAAGAGGAAGAAGAAAGTTATCTGTCTCAGTGTTACCACTAGAAAGTTATCTGTCTCAGTGTTACCACTAGAAAGTTACCTGTCTCAGTGTTACCACTAGAAAGTTACCTGTCTCAGTGTTACCACAAGAAGATTTTCTCTCTCATAGTTACACCTATAAAGTTACCTGTCTCACTAAGTGTTACCCCTTACTACGTACCTGTCCCTAAGGTCATCGTCCTCAGCGCCCCACCCAAAGTAAACGTTGGAGGCTCCGTTGATGAACTTAAAGTGCTCACGTGTAAAGCTGACCACGCCACCAAACAGTCCATGGTATGTCTCTCTGAGATGGAAAATTGCTTTGCATCAGCAGATTGAACAAACATTAACTCAGATTTACTGTTAATGTCCGAAAGTCACTTCAATCATAACATCGCCCTTTTCCCAATTCTTCGCCCAAACCTTCCTCCCAATTCTTCACCCAATCCTTCCTCCCAATTCTTCACCCAATCCTTCCTCCCAATTCTTCACCCAATCCTTCCTCCCAATTCTTCACCCAATCCTTCCTCCCAATTCTTCACCCAATCATTCCTCCTAATTATTCACCCAATCCTTCTTCCCAATTCTTCACCCAATCCTTCCTCCCAATTCTTCACCCAATCCTTCCTCCCAATTATTCACCCAATCCTTCCTCCCAATTCTTCACCCAATCCTTCCTCCCAATTCTTCACCCAATCCTTCCTCCCAATTCTTCACCCAATTCTTCCTCCCAATTCTTCACCCTATCCTTCCTCCCAATTCTTCACCCAATTCTTCCTCCCAATTCCAAACCCAATCCTTCCTCCCAATTCTTCACCCAATTCTTCCTCCCAATTCCAAACCCAATCCTTCCTCCCAATTCTTCACCCAATTCTTTCTCTCAAATCTTCACCCAATCCTTTAATCCTATCTCCCATATCTTCACCCTACCACAGATTGGCTAATATTTTGTCTTCCGTGTTGTAATAATTTTTTTTTCCCCATAGAGTTAGACCAGTGGTTCTCAAAGTGGGCGATACTTCCCCCAATTGAAGTGGGAAAGCTCTTGGGGGGGGGCAATGAAAAGATTAGGGGCGCTGGGTCTCCCATGGGGGAGGGCTGCTAGAGATGATATTAAGTGTATACTTGTAAATGATTGGTAAAAGATCCGTGTTTGCCTCAAGCGTTTTTTTATAAGACACATAGAAACAGTGATGGGAGGAGGGTGTGAGACACATAGAAACAGTGATGGGAGGAGGGTGTGAGACACATAGACCCAGTGATGGGTGGAGGGTGTAAGACACATAGAAACAGTGATGGGAGGAGGGTGTGAGACACATAGAAACAGTGATGGGAGGAGGGTGTGAGACACATAGAAACAGTGATGGGAGGAGGGTGTGAGACACATAGAAACAGTGATGGGAGGAGGGTGTGAGACACATAGAAACAGTGATGGGAGGAGGGTGTGAGACACATAGAAACAGTGATGGGAGGAGGGTGTGAGACACATAGAAACAGTGATGGGAGGAGGGTGTGAGACACATAGAAACAGTGATGGGAGTTGTGAGACGCATAGAAACAGTGAGGGGAGGAGGGTGTGAGACACATAGAAACAGTGATGGGAGGAGGGTGTGAGACACATAGAAACAGTGATGCGAGGAGGGTGTGAGACACATAGAAACAGTGATGGGAGGAGGGTGTGAGACACATAGAAACAGTGATGTTAGGAGGGTGTGAGACACATAGAAACACTGATATTACGAGGGCGAGACACATAGAAACACTGATATTACGAGGATGTGAAACACATAGATAGTGTGATATTACGAGGGCGAGACACATAGAAACAGTGATATTACGAGGGTGAGACACATAGAAACAGTGATGTTAGGAGGGTGAGACACATAGAAACAGTGATGGGAAGGGCTAAGACACATAGAGAAAGTGATGGGAGGGGCTAAGACAAATATAGACAGTGATGGGACGGGGGAAAGACACATAGAGACAATGATAGGACGGGGGTAAGACACATAGAGACAATGATGGGACGGGGGTAAGACACATAGAGACAGTGATGGGATGGGGGTAAGACACAAAGAGACAGTGATGGGAGGGGCTAAGACACATAGAGACAGAGATGGGAGGGGCTAAGACACATAGATACGGTGATGGGAGGGGCTAAGACACATAGAGTAAGAAAAAGATAGACAGTGATGGGACGGGGGAAAGACACATAGAGACAATGATAGGACGGGGGTAAGACACATAGAGACAATGATGGGACGGGGGTAAGACACATAGAGACAGTGATTGGATGGGGGTAAGACACAAAGAGACAGTGATGGGAGGGGCTAAGACACATAGAGACAGTGATGGGAGGGGCTAAGACACATAGATACGGTGATGGGAGGGGCTAAGACACATAGAGACAATGATGGGACGGGGATAAGACACATAGAGACAGTGATGGGAGGGGCTAAGACACATAGAGACATTGATGGGAGGGGCTAAGACACATAGAGACAGTGATGGGAGGGGCTAAGACACAGAAACAGTGATGGGTCGGGGGTAAGACACAGAAACAGTGATCGGTCGGGGGTAAGAAACATAGAGACATTGATAAGACGGGGGTAAGACCAGTGGCGTAGCAAGAAGGGTGAGCGGTGAGTACATGTCTCAGTACATGAATGAAATCGCTAAAAAATCAAATTATTTAAAAATTACTTTCCCCCAATTTATAGGGTTGAAAATGATCAGTTTATTGATCGTGGGCCCTGAAAATATAAAAGTGAAGAAGAGAAAAATAATTTACAAAATTGCCTAATATCTTTAAACAATTATTTATTTTATTTAAATTTTAAAAAAATGATTTTTCCAAACCATATATATAGAAATCCAGATAACTCAAAAAACATTGCCCCTTAACATTTGAGCACGATTGTCATATTTCGACTGCTGGGTTTTACCTGCCACATTTCTGTGTTGTATTTTGGACAGTGCTCTCTGACTGTTGGTTTTTAAAGGTCATAATTAATTATTTTATTTGTTGTCTTGAACACAAAGCAATTAAAGCATTTTTATTGTTCAAGATTGTTCTATCATTCCATACGGCGTGCACACATCCAAACGGCCCAGTGGCTACCAGCAACGAAAAGCAAGAAATAGACATTGGATTCTATGACGATTTCTATGGGCCATGTGATGATGTCCAAGGATCCCATGATGATTTCTACAGACACTAAGATATGTACATGAATCCCCCTTATAATAAAGGATTTAAATCATAGAATAAAATGACAAAGAAAAAGCACCTGACGGATCCCAGGGCACCTGTTCTGTTGACCACTGGTCAAGACTCCTACTGCCAGCTCTAGGGCAGCGCAGGGCTTCCCCAACCGTTCAATAAGTTTTTTTAATTTCACCAGGGACCTAGATTCGTTTATTTTAATGTTGTTTTCATGTGTCTTTAAATCTGTCGAAAAACTATTTTGAATCCGCGTTCAGTCGATGAGAGGGGCGTGTATTAGCTATTACTATTTAATGATGGCCGTTATGTTACTGGGTAAGGCTTTGTAACTTTGACTTAACTGTCATACATTTTCTTTGGCTTATGGTGCCAGGACCGGCAACTTTTAATTCAGGAGGGCACAAAACCGAAAAGTCGCAAGGGGTTCTCATACAGTCACATGACGGCTCTGACTGATAAATTTAAAAAATGATAGCCGCAGTTCGGATAACCTTAATTGGCGTTCGGAAAGTCGACGCTCTACTGTATAATGTATGTCCCCCAAGGACGGCGGTGTGCCCCCACCCCAAAAAAAAAGTTTTAGAACCACTTAATTAGACGAACGATTCAAAATGTATCATTTACAACTCCATAATTTCAAAAGATATTCTTCAACGAATGTATATTTATTACTGGATATGTTAACAATTCACTAAAGAACTATCTCTAATAAATCAAACTGCCATCTGACTTATCTTCAGCTAAAATTAATCGCAGCAAAATACGCTTTAAAACGGAAATGACGTCATTGAAGTACAACATATTAGTCCTATTCAAAATGAAGTTTACAAGTTTTAAAATAAGCATGACGTCAAAACACCCATAAAAAACAGAAAAAAAATTCCTCACAAAACAAACCATTACAATATTGATCTATCAAATAATCTAAGCTTTTTTTCGCGACGCGTTCATTTGTTCTCCCCCCCCCCTCCCTTTAAAAAAAACCCAACCTTTTCTGTTCATCCTAAACATCTGCTGAGCAACATCATGACCCACACTGCCTGTTTGAATTATAGTCGCCATAAACAATTGGGATGACAAGTTAGCGCAAACAAGCATCGATAATTTCAAACAATAGCACATCTATTCCTACACTTCTTAAAAACTGTCTATCAGTACAACTCAATAGCACATCTATTCCCACACTTCTTATAAACTGTCTATCAGTTCGAACAATAACACATCTATTCCCACACTCGTAGCCGTACAACAAATAGCGTACACACATCTGTAACACCACAACACTTGTTGTTTTTTTTTGGGGGGGGGGGTGGGGGGGGGTTGAAAGCACATACCAAAACAGAAAAAAAAATAAAGGATCATAAAACCCTTTATAATCCCGACCCCATTGTTGGTAAATCACACATCTAAGACTACAACACAATAGGCATAAGGTTGTAACAGTTACATGAATCCATATATCAAAACTGAAAAAAATATAAAGTCTCATAAAACCCTTTATAATGCCGACCCCATTGTTGGTACATCACACATCTAAGACTACAACACAATCAAGTTGCTGTCAGACAGGCATAGTCACTTTCAGACAGGCATAGTTACTGTTCAGACAGGCATAGCTACTGTTCAGACAGGCATAGTTACTGTTTCGACAGGCAGAGTTACTGTTCAGACAGGCAGAGTTACTGTTCAGACAGGCATAGTTACTTGTAATTGAACTTGCTAACGGCAGGTGAGAAGTGGACAGGTCCGCTCTTGTTGCATCGGTACAGGTTCCGGTCATCAATGGGGATCAAATCTACGTCGTGTAGGATGAAGCAGTCGTAGTTGTCTACCTTGAGGGACTCTAGGTACCCGGCGTTGAACATGATGCCCTTGTTGAATGTGCCATTGGCAGTCTGTGGGGGGGGGGGGACAGAATAGATCCGTACACTTGAACATAATGTGTGTGCAGACAAAATATATGTATATGCTAACATAATTTGTTGGGAGACCAAATCTATGTACATTTGAAGTATCTATATATTCTTAAGAAGTGTTCACTTTTACAACTGAACATTAAATTTACAATGGATCTGGCCATTAGCTGCACATACAATTAACCTGGCGTATAGTTGCACATACAATTGACCTGTCCTATAACTGCACATACAATTGACCTGGCCTATAGCTACACATACAATTGACCTGGCCTATAGCTGCACATACAATTGACCTGGCCTATAGCTGCACATACAATTGACCTGGCCTATAGCTACACATACAATTGACCTGGCCTATAGCTGCACATACAATTGACCTGGCCTATAGCTGCACATACAATTGACATGGCCTATAGCTGCACATACAATTGACCTGGCGTATAGCTGCACATACAATTGACCTGACGTATAGCTGCACATACAATTGACCTGTCCTATAACTGCATATCCAATTTACCTGTCCTATAACTGCACATACAATTTACCTGTCCTATAACTGCACATATAATTTACCTGTCCTATAACTGCACATATAATTGACCTGTCCTTTAACTGTACATTTAATTGACCTTTCCTGTAACTACACATACAGTATATGGCATCCTTCCGTCTTCTTTTTGTTGTTAGGTCCTTGTTTCGCGTCTCTTCTGCCTTTTTGACTCCTTCATACACTGCTGTTCACCAGCTGGAACGTTGTTCATTAATTAGCTCCCATTGGTTGTTTTCAACATTGGCTTCCCTCATGCTCTTTTCGCAAACGTCCATAAATCTCAGGCATGGCCGTCCAACATGTCTTGTCCCTTCTGCCAACTCTCCATACAGCAGCATCTTTGGGATACGTCCTTCCTCCATTCTCATTACATGACCTAACCAGCGAAGGCGCCTCTTGATGAGAAAGGAGAATATGCTAAACATGTGTGCACGTTCCAAGACCTCTGTGTTAGTCACCCTGTCCTGCCAACGAATGCGTAAAATGCGACGCAGACATCTTTGGTGGGAGCTGTTGAGTTTCCGCTCCTAGATGTTGGTATATGTGGTCCACACTTCGCACCCATATAGGGCTTGTCATTTAATGGTGGAAATCTATTAATAGAACTGATGTCACCATTACTGATCATCCGGGTACTCAGCGCGGACAAAATGTCAACACTGTTCAGTATTACTATGTTAGCGAAGTGTCCCTGAAACTTGTTTACAACTCTATTTTACGAAATATTTTACACATTTTTTCTTTCACATTCTGTTTTCTCAAATGCGACTTCATTGCGTGAACGTCATATGTAGCAGTAACTCTGCATATAAGGATCGCCCGAACGATATGCTGAAACACACTGTAAGCTGCCATGTTTTAAGCAATATTTGTCCGCGGACCTTCTAAAAATAGTACGCTATGACGTTTTCCGGTCTTAGAAATTACGCCTATTGAAGCGTGCTAAGCACACATGCCTGATAGACACATACTATAGACCTGTACTAAAACTGCACATACAATTTACCTGCTCTACGACGTAGATGGTGAAGTCGATGTTTTGTCTCATCAACATTGGGATGAGGACAGGCAGTAAGATGTACAAGTGAGAACAACGATTTCTGTACGGGATCAAGATGGCGGTCTTCTCTGCCGGTCGACACATCCGGGGCTTGTAATGGCCACCTTCTGCCATGTCGGGGAAGAACGCTGCTAGTTCCTGAGGGGTCATCATTGTCATTGGTGGGGCAAATCTGCCAACTGTTGGGGGTGGGAGACAGAATACTTTGAAAATCTTGATACGTCCATAGACAGAAAATTAATGTAAGTGTACAAACACATTATAATGTATGAAAGATGCTGCTGTGGTACAATGTACTTGCTGGCATAGTAACTTACATGAACAGTGCATAGGTTCTTCTTGTTTGACCATTCGGATGAAATATGACAATACATTACTAGCTAAATTGTAAACTAAGTTTATTTTCTCCTAATTTAAAGCGAACTTTTTTGGTCGAGATCCACTCCGGCTTCGCTTCGGACCAATTTTGTCAGCCCCGTTCCAAGCTCCGGTTAAGGGGTGGTTAAAGGGTGGTTAAAGGGTGGTTAAGGTGTGGTTAAGCTGATACCAATTGTTTAAAGAATTGTGTTTATTATTGTCACTTAACAATCTTATTAACTCGACATCACAGATGCAAGTGCAGGCAACATAGCAGTTGGAAGAATGGGGCAATCAAGCTGGTAGAAGAGTAGGGCAATCATGCTGGTAGAAGAGTGGGGCAATTAAGCTGGGAGAATAGTGGGGCAATCAAGCTGTTAGAAGAGTGGGGAGAGTAGGGAAATCAAGCTGGTAGAAGAGTGGGGCAATGAAGCTGGTAGAAGAGTGGGGCAATGAAGCTGGTAGAAGAGCGGGGCAATCAAGCTGGTAGAAAATTGGGGCAATCAAGCTGGTAGAAGATTGGGGCAATCAAGCTGGTAGAAGAGTGGGGCAATCAAGCTGGTAGAAGAGTGGGGCAATCAAGCTGGTAGAAGAGTGGCACAATCAAGCTGGTAGAAGAGTGTAACACTTTATCTGGTAGAAGAGTGTAAAGCTATAGCTGGTTGAAGAGTGTAACACTATACCTGGTAGAGATTGGGTTTCAATATACCGGAGCGCCCTTGTCAGAAAACAACGGCGCCCTTGTGAGAAAACAGCTACTCACTGGTGAGAAAACAGCCATTCCCTTGTGAGAAAACAGCAACTCCCTTGTTAGGAAAAAGCCACTCCCTTGTGAGAAAACAGCCACTCCCTGGTGAGAAAACAGCCACTCCCTTGTGAGAAAACAGCCACTCACTGGTGAGAAAACAGCTCACTGGGGAGAAAACAGCCACTCCCTTGTGATAAAACAGCCACTCACTCGTTAGAAAACAGCCACTCCCTTGTGAGAAAACAGCGACTCCCAAGAGCACCGAGAAGACCTTTGAGAAACACTTCATCAGATGAACATACTTATGAACACAGACGTGCAGCTGTACTGTAGCCAAATGACAGCGTCCTCACACGATGGTTTGATGTTGAAATACTTGATGTACGAACACATTGCCAGCTTGTCTACTCTCTCACACGATAGTTTGATGTTGAAATACTTGATGTACGAACATATTGCCAGCTTGTCTACTCTCTCACACGATGGTTTGATGTTGAAATACTTGATGTACGAACACATTGCCAGCATGTCTACTCTCTCACACGATGGTTTGATGTTGAAATACTTGATGTACGAACACATTGCCAGCATATCTACTCTCTCACACGATGGTTTGATGTTGAAATACTTGATGTACGAACATAGTGCCAGCTTGTCTACTCTCTCACACGATGGTTTGATGTTGAAATACTTGATGTACGAACACATTGCCAGCTTGTCTACTCTCTCACACGATAGTTTGATGTTGAAATACTTGATGTACGAACATATTGCCAGCTTGTCTACTCTCTCACACGATGGTTTGATGTTGAAATACTTGATGTACGAACACAATGCCAGCATGTCTACTCTCTCACACGATGGTTTGATGTTGAAATACTTGATGTACGAACACATTGCTAGCTTGTCTACTCTCACCCTTCCCAAGATTGTGTTAAAGAAAGACATTATGTCTCGCCAACCTGTCAGATTATATATCTAACGCCACTCTCAGAATAAGGTTTTGAAGATTATATTTGGCTAATGGTGATATTTATGGATCTCCATCCTTATTTATAGCCTGTTCAGGTTAAAATAATTTATTCGTTTTGATTACCTACAGAAAACTAGATTGTGCATGCCAAAGACTTGATGGTATACACCCAAGACATCAATGTGCACACACAAGACTTGATGGTGCACGCCCAAGACTTGATGTTGCACACCCAAGACTTGATGGTGCACGCCCAAGAGTTGACGATGCACGCCCAAGACATGATGGTGCACGCCCGAGTTTTGATGTGCACGCCCAAGAGTTGATGGTGCACACCCAAGAATTGATGGTGCACACCAAAGACTTGATGGTGCACACTGAAGACTTGATGGTGCACACCAAAGACTTGATGGTGCACACCAAAGACTTGATGGTGCACACCAAAGACTTTATGGTGCACACCAAAGACTTGATAGGTATCACCAATGATGATAATTATCCTGATGTCAACACTGGCTGATAGGTCTCACCAATGTTTTAGTGTAATACGGCTGATAGGTCTCACCAATGTTTTAGTGTAATAGGGCTGATAGGTCTCACCAATGTTTTAGTGTAATACGGCTGATAGGTCTCACCAATGTTTTAGTGTAATACGGCTGATAGGTCTCACCAATGTTTTAGTGTAATAGGGCTGATAGGTCTCACCAATGTTTTAGTGTAACACGGCTGATAGGTCTCACCAATGTTTTAGTGTAATACGGCTATACATAAAATACACGGAATAGAATTTTCAATGTCTATATTCGCTAACTTGTATAATGACTTTAGTCTTCTTTTTATTCTAATTGTGTCTCCTAACCCCCCACCAGCCACCCTCAACTACCCTCCAAAAAATAATGAAATAAACAAATAAATAAAATAAGAACACAATAATATTAAATAACATTTAAAATTTTAAAATAATACATTAAGTAATTAAATCATAATAAAAACACAACCAAACAAACGAGATAAACATTGGCACCTGGCATTGACTGGCATTGACTAGTATTGACTTGTGTTGACTGGAAATGACTGGTATTGAGTGGTACTGATTGGTCATGAATTTTTCTCTTGCAAGCACACATCTCACACTGTTGGACCATTCACCTCACACCTGTGGACTATTCACCTCACACTGTTGGACCACTCACCTGTCGCAGGCTTATATGTTCGTATCTTATCTCATCCCTCGAAGGGAGAACTCCCTTCCCCCTCTTGTTTTTTTTTTTTTTTTTTTTTTGGTATTAAAACGAATTGTGTGGGTAAAGATCTGTATATTTTTTTTTTTTTTTAAATATTGATCTTCATTATACTCTCTAACCTTTTTGGGGCGCACACAATCAAAGGAAAATTCATCTTAAAAAATCAATGCTTCTATCCACCGGTGAGTGCTATGGGGGAGAAATCATAAGACAGTAGATGTTTATTTAAGATGGTATTTTTATTGCAAGTTTAAATGGGTCAACCCGACTCTGAAATTGCAATTAATGTTTATTCAATAAAGATTTTAATGGATAGATTCCTCGGTCTTTGTACAGGAAGGCCCACGAGCGTGTGGGTGGGGGTGGAGATGATGGTGATGAAAATCTCCAACCCACCCACCTTCCTTTGAAGGCATGTCTTTTAATGGCAAATTAATATTGTGGTTACATCAATAAAGTAGCACATCTATCGTATACACCAACTGTTCCTTTATCGGAAGTTAGTCATTAATGTTATCTGACCTACAACAGTTCCCTTTAGGTTCCTACACTTTCTGAACTGAGCAGGTTTGACCATGACCGTAATGGTTTGGAGAGTCCTGCCCCATGGCCGCACCAATGGAAATTTATGGCAGCAATTTCAATCTCAGTATGGTTGGTACAACATGGCCAGAGCTCAGCGGTCCGCCGTCAACCCGTGACAATGACAACCCTTAAACCCTTGCGGTACTTGAGTCACATAATCATGACTTATGAGAGTAAGTTTTACCAAGGACCTACAAATGGACGGGTAAGCAAATGACCTAATAAAGGACCAGAAAGCAAGTGACCTACCAAAGGACGGGTAAGCAAGTGACCTAACAAAAAACGGGTAAGCAAGTGACCAAATAAAGGATGGGAAAGCAAGTGAACTACCAACGGACAGGTAAGCAAGTGACCCACCAAAGGACGAGAAAACAAGTACCTACTAAATGACTGAAAAGTAAGGGACCTATCATTTAAACGGGAAAGCAAGTTACCTACCAAATGACGGGAAAGCAAGTGACCTACCAAAAAAGGGCAAGTAATGGACCTACCAAAGGACGGGTAAGCAAGTGACCTACCAAAGGATGGGTACGCAAGTGACCTACCAAAGGACAGGTAAGCAAGTGACCTACCAATGGACAGGTAAGCAAGTGACCTACCAAACGACAGGTAAGCAAGTGACCAACCAAAGGACGGGAAATTAAGGTACCGCCCCGGCAAGTATTTTTTGTAATTGTTAAATATATTTTGTTTCACTCTTATGGTAAACATTTGTATGGGCGGTGCAATGGGCAAATGTCCCCTGGGGTGGCATCAATGCACAGTTATGTGGACAGGATCGTGGACAGGATCGTGTCCAGGAAAAGCTGCGCCCAGGGTAAAGCCTGAAAATGGCGCTAATACCCTATTTGAACAACTGATAATTAATGGTAATTTACAATGTTAGCGCGCCACGGGGATCTCGTCCAATTCGCCACCCCCCCCCCCTTTCAATTATTACACGGCCCTTACTGGGCATCCTTCAACGTCTACAACAGCCATATGCCGTGTGTTCGGAATTATGGGTAGGGACGAATTTTTTTACGTATGTACATTTCTCATAATCTACACTCTAAGAAATGTCTTGAATATGTATGTCAAATATCTCCTGAAACTTAATATTGCAACATTTATTATAGCCAAAAGCAGATTAGCGGCTGCAAATTATAACTTTTTAATTTTATCTTCTCTCTGATTAAAGGGGGGGGGCTGTTAGGTGGTTTACTATGTTGCAAGCAGAGAAATTGACTTCGGTCTCTTATTTATAGAGGACCTAACAGGATACACGTGAAATTGAGCTAAATTAAATTTGGATGTTGAAATTCTTCAAGCTCTGATATTAACACTATGTAAACTAGGCAATTAGCACAGGACACATGAATGTCTACCTAACTGATCAGTTAACATGATACTCAGTCAAAACCGGAACGGGATGCCGAGAAAGGTTTCCAACACCTGGACAGTCCCGATTCACCAGTAAGGGTTCAAGATCCCCAGCCCAATGGGATCCCGAATAAATCTTGATCCCAAAGGGATCCCAATGGGATCCTGATCTCGATTAAATAAATCGCAATTGAGATCCCGATCCCGATGACATCCCGTTTCCAAATGGGATCCATTTCCCAGTTGGTTCCCGAACCCTTTGGGATCCCAATTCTGATGGGTTCCCGATGCCGTTGAGATCCCGTATCCAAGTAGTATCCCATATACTGATCGGTTCCCCGCCTCCGATGCGATCCCTTTCCACACGAAATCCCAATCCCTTTCCAGGTTGGTCCCCGACCCTATTGGAATTCCATTCCGGATAGGATCTGAATCCTGATGACTGAATCCTGATGACTGAATCCTGATGACTGAATCCTGATGACTGAATCCTGATGACTGAATCCTGATGACTGAATCCTGATGACTGAATCCTGATGACTGAATCCTGATGACTGAATCCTGATGCCTGAATCCTGATGGGACCCCATTTCCAAATTGGATACCATACCCCGATCGGTCCCGATGCAATTCCAATCCCGATGGGATCCCGATCTCGTGAGATCCGAATCCGGGAGGGATCCCGTTTCACCAATGGGACCCTTTTTTACGGTGGAATCCCGTTTTCGAATAGGATCCCGTAGCTATTGGGATTCCATTGTTTTCGGGATCCCTTGTCCCAGTGTGATCCCCTTCCACTATGTTCCTTGTTTGATCCCGTTCCCAGGTGGGTCCAGTTTCTCGGGAGGTCTGTCTACGATAAGCTTTGGCCATAATAATGGAAACTTAATCTAGAACTTTCTAGAGCTTCCAAAATTATTTTTAATTCTTATGCCATAACATTCGAAGAAACGCATTGAAAATTCATGAACATGATAACAGCATTCATGGAATTTTAGAAAATTCTCGACCAGCCCTGAATGGTTTCAATATTGTTCATTTTAAATCCACGATATCTCCATACGGACAATGAAGGGTATTGCTCCTTAGCTACATCCATCACTTCACATAACACATTGTTGTCTAACTAGGCCTATTGATATTTATATAGCTTATGTAAGGTAAAGTGAAACGGGGCCCCGGGCCTCAGAGGTATAGATATTATGAGTTCAGTACCCTTCGGTATTTGATTATGGCTAATCAAGTGTATGTGTACAAGTGTATGTGTACAAGTGTATGTGTACAAGTGTATGTGTACAAGTTTATGAGTACAAGTGTATGTGTACAAGTTTATGTGTACAAGTGTATGTGTACAAGTGTATGTGTACAAGTGTATGTGTACAAGTGTATGTGTACTAAGTTTTGTCAAAATACATTAATTCATGTACACGTATTTGTTGGTCATTTTATTTATATTTATGTTATTTATCTTTAAGCTTATAAAAGAAATAAATGAATTCAGGCAGAGGTGCAGCTCGAGTGATTAGCGCCCAGGGAAAAAATTCCTTTTAAAGCTCCTCTCTTTCTTTCTTCAACTCTCAAACCCATTATGTCCATCAATAAAAATTATATCAAAACCCATTTTGGCGCTCCCAACTAGCCTGCGTCAAGGGACATCTGTCCCCCTTGCCCACTTAGTTACGCCTTTGAATCCAGGTCCCCTGGCCCCAAACGGAAAGTTATACAAAGTTTATAATCCCCCAGGCTTTCCTTCCACATAAAGATGGATATATGCGCCAAGTTTGGTCAAGATCCATCCATCCACCCATCCATGTAAGAACTATGCGGAACAAACAAACTCACAAAGGAAGACATGTTCACTTATGTATAATAGGTTGACCACACGTCCGCATTTAGTACGGACAGTTTGTATTTTCAACCCCTTTGTCCGTATGTGTCCGTATGTGTTCGTATGTGTCGTACTTTCCACTCGTCGTGCGGCTTGTCCGTACTTTTGGCAGCGACGACTTGCTTGTCTTATTTCCATTTGTCTTATCTTATTTCTCAGCAAAAGCCCGTGCAATGATTTTCAGCTCCCTCCGAGAGTCCAGAAATAGCTAAAAAAATAGTTCATGAATCGAATCGGCAAAAATATTATTTTTAAAAAAAAAAAAGGACTTTTTACCCAATGCTGTAAAAATTTCCAGCAATTTTGTGTAGGAATTATCGTCATAATATTGCCATTTCTGTTCACAAATGAACTAGTTAGATAGCGTTTAAATAGCACTCATTTAGAAGCAGTGTTACACTAATATTTCGTCCACCGTATCTTAATGAACTTGTTCAGTGGTTCCCATAATGTTTCGATTCCCGTCGCGTATGCCACATTTAGGTTTGCACCATTCTTTTGCAGCCCTCTGGGAAATTACTTTTCAGTTAAGTGCAATTTTTTTTTTTAATTCTGTTTTTACCATTGTTGTTGACTGCGGAGGAAATGCTGGATTTGTTTTTTTTTTCTTTTTTTCCTTAGTTAAAGCTCTTGTTTCTTTCTTTCTTTTTAAAAATTAATTTCTATTACCTTCAAATGGTTGTTCGTGTGCACAGTGGCGTAGCTGGGAGTGGACCGGGTGACAGCATCTTAGGGGTGACACCAAATTGAAAAAGTGAATATTTACAGAGCACATACTGCTCGGCCTAACCGAATTTCATAGTATGACCGGTCACACGTCAATATTCCACACATGGAATCCAAATGCGTGCTTTATAAAAAGTTCAAGGTTGATGCGTCAGATTTGAGATGACCTTATATGTAGGTAATAAAAACACAGGCTTTACTCTTGACAAAGTGATGACCAACCTGCAGACTAAAGGCTTCACTCTTGAGAAAGAGGTGACCAGCCTAGAGGCCTTAAGATTGTTTTTGCACGAGAAGTGCTGTCACTTGGTGGGACATGCTTCTAAAAAGGCCCTTTTAAAATTGGACCAATGTGGAATTTTGGTAGAGAGAAGATTAAGACTTAAGAAGAGAATGACATGAGAAATATGTACGATTCACTACGGGACAGTCAAGGCTTTCTGATATGGCTCTACTGTCAAGTGAAAGTGATTCGGTGAAGGATGATCAAGTCATTGGCAGGTATTCAGCTTTGAAGACCAGGAAAGGACAATATTAAATTAAGTAAATTTAAGTAAAAAGGCAGATAGCTGGACGTTGTTACAGTTCTTAAATGACCTTTAATTAGTTTGTTTATGTTCTTGTCATTGTTATACTGTGGACTTGGACGAAAACTATCGTGGAAGTCGAGGGAAGGGGTCGACACCATGAGTTCACCACACCGGGTGGCAACAAACGTTGTTGTAATCAAGACAGTTGGAGGTGGACCTCATATGTGTTGGGATCAAGACAGTCGGAGGTGGACCTCATATGTGTTGTGATCAAGACAGTCGGAGGTGGACCTCATATGTGTTGTGATCAAGACAGTCGGAGGTGTACCTCATATGTGTTGTGATCAAGACAGTCGGAGGTGTACCTCATATGTGTTGTAATCAAGACAGTCGGAGGTGTACCTCATATGTGTTGTGATCAAGACAGTCGGAGGTGTACCTCATATGTGTTGTAATCAAGACAGTCGGAGGTGTACCTCATATGTGTTGTGATCAAGACAGTAGGAGGTGTACCTCATGTGTGTTGTGATCAAGACAGTCGGAGGTGTACCTCATGTGTGTTGTGATCAAGACAGTCGGAGGTGTACCTCATGTGTGTTGTGATCAAGACGGTCGGAGGTGGACCTCATATGTGTTGTGGTCAAGACAGTTGGAGGTGTACTTTATATGTGTTATGGTAAAGACCCATTTCTCGAAAACGCTCCAACATTTACCAAAAATATATGTGCTTTAGAATAGAATTAAAAAGAGTATGATTTCACCACACTCAGAAAAGAAGTTTTACGAGATAGTCCATATACTCTGTTGAGAAGTTTTTAGGAGACGGTCCACATACTCTGTAGAGAAGTTTTTTGGAGATTGTCCACATGGTCTGTAGAGAAGTTTTTAGGAGATATTCCACATGGTCTGTAGAGAAGTTTTCAGGAGATAGTCCACATGGTCTGTAGAGAAGTTTTTAGGAGATATTCCACATGGTCTGTAGAGAAGTTTTTAGGAGACAGTCCACATGGTCTGTAGAGAAGTTTTTAGGAGATAGTCCACATGGTCTGTAGAAAAGTTTTTAGGAGATAGTCCACATGGTCTGTAGAGAAGTTGTTTGGAGATATTCCACATGGTCTGTAGAGAAGTTTTTAGGAGATAGTCCACATGGTCTGTAGAGAAGTTTTTAGGAGATATTCCACATGGTCTGTAGAGAAGTTTTTAGGAGATAGTCCACATGGTCTGTAGAGAAGTTTTTAGGAGATAGTCCACATGGTCTGTAGAAAAGTTTTTAGGAGATAGTCCACATGGTCTGTATTGGTCTGTAGAGAAGTTTTTAGGAGATAGTCCACATGGTCTGTAGAAAAGTTTTTAGGAGATAGTCCACATGGTCTGTAGAGAAGTTTTTAGGAGACAGTACACGTGCTCTGTAGAGAAGTTTTTAGAAGACAGTCCACATGGTCTGTAAAGAAGTTTTTAGGAGATAGTCCACATGGTCTGTAGAGAAGTTTTTAGGACACAGTCCACATGGTCTGTAGAGAAATTTTAAGGAGACAAGCCACATGGTCTGTAGAGAAGTTTTTAGGAGATAGTTCACATGGTCTGTAGAGAAGTTTTTAGAAGACAGTACTCATGATCTGTAGAGAAGTTTTTAGGAGACAGTCCACATGGTCTGTAGAAAAGTTTTTAGGAGACAACCCACATGGTCTGTAGAGAAGTTTTAGGAGACAGTACGCATGGTCTGTAGAGAAGTTTTTAGAAGACAGTACACATGGTCTGTAGAGAAGTTTTTAGGAGACAGTCCAAATGGTCTGTAGAGAAGTTTTTAGGAGATAGTCCACATGGTCTGTAGAGAAGTTTTTAGGAGACAGTCCACATGGTCTGTAGAGAAGTTTTTAGGAGACAGCCCACATGGTCTGTAGAGAAGTTTTAGGAGATAGTCCACATGGTCTGTAGAGAATTTTTTAGGAGACAGTCCACATGGTCTGTAGAGAAGTTTTTAGGAGACAGTACACATGGTCTGTAGAGAAGTTTTTAGGAGACAGCCCACATGGTCTGTAGAGAAGTTTTTAGGAGACAGTCCACATGGTCTGTAGAGAAGTTTTTAGGAGACAGTCCACATGGTCTGTAGAGAAGTTTTTAGGAGACAGTCCACATGGTCTGTAGAGAAGTTTTTAGGAGACAGTCCACATGGTCTGTAGAGAAGTTTTTAGGAGACAGTCCACATGGTCTGTAGATAAGTTTTTAGGAGACAGTCCACATGGTCTGTAGATAAGTTTTTAGGAGACAGTCCACATGGTCGGTAGAGAAGTTTTTAGGAGATAGTCCACATGGTCTGTAGAGAAGTTTTTAGGAGATATTCCACATGGTCTGTAGAGAAGTTTTTAGGAGATATTCCACATGGTCTGTAGAGAAGTTTTTAGGAGATAGTCCACATGGTCTGTAGAGAAGTTTTTAGGAGATAGTCCACATGGTCTGTAGAAAAGTTTTTAGGAGATAGTCCACATGGTCTGTAAAGAAGTTGTTTGGAGATAGTCCACATGGTCTGTAGAGAAGTTTTTAGGAGATAGTCCACATGGTCTGTAGAGAAGTTTTTAGGAGATAGTCCACATGGTCTGTAGAGAAGTTTTTAGGAGACAGTCCACATGGTCTGTAGAGAAGTTTTTAGGAGACAGTCCACATGGTCTGTAGAGAAGTTTTTAGGAGACAGTCCACATGGTCTGTAGAGAAGTTTTTAGGAGACAGTCCACATGGTCTGTAGAGAAGTTTTTAGGAGACAGTTCACATGGTCTGTAGAGAAGTTTTTAGGAGACAGTCCACATGGTCTGTAGAGAAGTTTTTAGGAGACAGTCCACATGGTCTGTAGAGAATTAGAGTTTGTATTCACTGAAGTGTAACATGTTCCATAATTTTAAAACACCCGTCATTATCTACGGGTACAGACTGTTTTTAAAGACCATCATTTGATAGAATCTCCTTATTTTAACAGAGGCACTATTCATTGTGTACTATTCATTGTGTACTATTCATTGTGTACTATTCATTGTGTACTATTCATTGTGTACTATTCATTGTGTACTGTTCATTGTGTACTATTCATTGTGTACTATTCATTGTGTACTATTCATTGTATACTATTCATTGTGTACTATTCATTGTTTACTATTCATTGTGTACTATTCATTGTGTACTATTCATTGTGTACATTTTCTTACTGTACAATCACAGCGATAAATGCTTCCATGTTACAAACATAGAAATGTGACAACTCACACACAATAGCTTCCTAGGCGAAGCTTCCCAATCGATCTAATCATAATAGCTTCTCAATCTACCCACACATAATAGCTTCTCGATCGACCCACACATAATAGCTTCCTATTTTCACCTTACATAATAGCTTCCTAGTGGACCCACGCAATCGACCCACACAGAATAGCTTTCCAGTGAAACCAACTTTTTCACATTGTGACGAAATGGAGCCGACATAAAAATGTCCATGTACTCACGACGACCTACTTAGAACCTAGCCATCCATGCTTGCGCCGACAATGGTGAAGATGAATAATGCCATCCAGAATGGATATTAACATTGTCAGAATTATACCTCCTTTGACACATCGATCTAAATTCGTTGCCTTTGGAGAGAGATTTGTTAGCTCGAGAATATTGGAGAAATTTTTCACTTCTTTTCTTTTATCATCATTCACATATATCCTGGTTGGTAGATCGCCGCGCTATTGCAGTACAGTCGACCGCACCTAAGCAGCTGAGTTGAGGAATCGGTTTACTGAGGCCTGAGTCTACGAACCCCGCCCAGGTGCCACCTCCGGAAGACCAATTCATCGCTTGCAACCAAAGGACCGCGTGCTGATGGACTTTACTCCTAAAGAGAAGTCTTACGTACACCGACCACAGCGTACTGGGGAAGAATAATACCAGATATTACAGTTGTGACTGCTATCATCCACCTGCGTGAACGCCTTCAAAAGCCACGGGGTAAATAATTAAAGAATTCACTTCCACCCTTGAAGTAATTCTATTACATCGTTTTGTTGTTTAGTCCCCTTGCGTGAACGCCCAAAGAAGTCACGAAGGACAGGACCAGAGAATCCACTTCTACGTTGAAGTGATCTCACTATTATGCAAGATCTAACAAGATCATCGGAGCTGCTCATAGTTTGCCGCTCTGTCAGCCCACCCACGTGATCGCCTTGAAAAGCCACGGAGTAAAGAATCGGAGGAGCCCCCTACACATACTGCTATTGACTGATCAAGTCAAATGTTAAAGTCAGATGATCAAGTCAGATGTTCGAGTCAGATGATCGAGTCAATGTTAAAGTCAGATGATCAAGTCAGATGTTCAAGCCAGATGATCAAGTCAGATGTTCAAGTCTGATGTTCAAGCCAGATGATCAGCACCAGTGACTGATAGGTTAAGTGTGAAAGGACTGAGTTTATACAATTGAGATACAAAGCAATCTTTATGATGATACATGGGCTATACGGGAGGCCATTGATAATAATAGACCAGAGCTTAGATAGATTCCAAATGAAAGTTGTTTTGAATATAATTCACGATTATGCCATATATATGTAAATAAATAAGTCATTTTATTTACTAAATGGTGTTATAAAGTATTTGGTAGTTAAGGTAAAAATGAGTATGTCATTATGTCCATTCGTGTTTGAAATCGACATAACCTAATACCCCTAGACTTAAGCAGGTGTAACACTCATCAGAGAGTTGTTCTTACACCCCTTATATAAAAGTCATCTCACCACACACATTTACTTTGAGAATAGCACTAGCAACGATATGACAGGAGACAAAAAGGCGTGGTTGGTTGATGACGTACCCAGAAATGGTGGCGTGTCCGGACATGGACTGCTGGTGTTCTGCTGTCCTTTCTGTCCCGCAACTGGCAGACTCTTGTTGATCTGGGAGAAGTTACAGGGAACAGTTTCTATGAAAGATTCGACGTCTTCATTGTTGGCAGTGAAATCATCCCCTTGACCGTCCTGCGTAGACTGACCACTAGGGAGTCTGGAAACGTTTAAAGTGGACTCGTCCAGGGAATTTTGCTGGATGTCAATGCATATAGTAGTTGGGTCTGGTGGGTCGCTGTGGGACAAGTCCTTCTGGAAGCTCATGTGCGCTTGGTTCATGTAGACCAGAGTCGAAAAGAGGACGATCGAGGAGGAACCAAGGCACAGCAGCACGCCCACTCTACTACGCCGTGTTGAGAGATGACACGCCCCTGTTCCAATGCGGTGAAAATATCGAGGAAAGTTAGAGTTTATATCTGTTCATTGGGGTGGGGGAGGGGGAGAAGTGGGTGTAAGGGTGGGAGTAGGGGTGGGAATAGGGGTGGGAGTAGGGGTGGGAGTAGGGGTGGGAGTAGGGGTGGGAGTAGGGGTGGGAGTAGGGGGGGGAGAGGGGGTGAGTAGGGGTGGGAGTAGGGTGGAAGTAGGGTGGGAGAAGGGGTGGGAGTAGGGGTGGGAGTAGGGGTGGGAGATGGAGTGGGAGTATAGGTGGTAGCAAAAGTGTCAGTAAGAGTAGGAGTGGAAGTGGCCTATAACTTGAGTTTGATTTACAATAGTTTACAAAAAGCTAACAAGATGAACATTTGAAAATGGAAATGCTAATTGTAATGTGAGTACTCACGGCAGCCAGATCCCAAGCTTTTCATCATCAGCTGATATTCAGTAAAAGCTTACTGAGCTACAAGAAGGACCAAAAATGTTTGAATTGAATGAAACGAATTTTAAAGAAATATTTAAAGTGTATATTAAAATACTTAAAATGTAAACTAAACTACCATAAGTGTAAACTATACTACAAGAAGTGTACACAAAACTAACAAAAGTGTCAACTAAACTACCAAAAGTGTAATCTAAACCACCAAAAGTGTAAAATAAACTACCAAAAGTGTAATCTAAACTACCAAAAGTGTAAACAAAACTACCAAAAGGGTAAACAAAAGTACCAAAAACTGTAAATTAATCTACCAAAGGTGTAATCTAGACTAGCAAAAGTGTAAACTGAAAGACCAAAAGTGTAAACTTAATTACTTTACCAAAAAGTGTAAACTTAAAAACTGTACCACAAAGTGTAAACTCAATTACTGTATCACAAAGTGTAAACTTAATTACTGTACCACAAAGTGTAAACTTAATTACTGTACGACAAAGTTTAATTTTAATTTCTCCTCCACAAATTGTAAATTTAATTACTCTACCACAAAGTGTAAACTTAATTACTGTACGACAAAGTGTAATTTTAATTACTCTACCACAAAGTGTAAACTTAATTACTCTACCACAAAGTGTAAACTTAATTACTCTACCACAAAGTGTTAACTTAATTACTCTACCACAAAGTGTAAACTTAATTACTCTACCACAAAGTGTAAACTTAATTACTCTACCACAAAGTGTAAATTTAATTACTCTCTCACAAAGTGTAAACTGAAGAGGCAAAATGTCAACGTATACTAAATTACCACAAGTAGCAAACTGAAGAATCACAAGCGTTAACTTAATGACCACATGTGTAAACTTAACTGTCACACATGGAAGTCAAGTTACACAATTGTTCAATACATAGAATTAAAAAGAATAAGTTTAAAACCAAAGTACCGGGGGTGTCAATGACACAACGGAGATAGTGTTCAGCCTGTCTGCGTCCTCCCCAACCAGTTAATTTTATACACAGCGTGTTGTGGGGGAGGTGGTGGGGGACGGGGTGGGGGAGGGGTTGGGGTAGTGGGGAGGGGGTAGTTTCATCTTAGTGAGCTATCGATCTGATGCGGCCTCTTGATAATCTGTTGTTCATCGATGTCAAAATTTGACAAGATAAATTTACTGGTGAGTCAGGATGATTGGCTAGTTTGATTCACTGGTGAGTGACCGTGATGGGATAGATTGCTTCACTGGTGAGTGAGGGTAATGGGCAAGATTTAGTCACTGGTGAGTGAGGGGGATTGGCTATATTGATCAACTGGTGAGTGAGGGTAATGGGCTAGATTTATTCACTGGTGAGTGAGGTGATGGGCTAGATTGGTTTACTGGTGAGTGAGGGTAATGGGCTAATTTGATTCAAAATAAAATGAGTAAAACTGAGTATGGTTAAACCTGAAAAAATAAATGCAACAAAACAGCGAACGTGTCGGCAGAAAGCCTTCGTCAGCGAACAAAACAACAGAAAAAAACGGTATAAAAATAAAAATAAGAAATAGCACTTAGCTGGTAAGTATTATCTGTGGGCAGCAATAGAAGTGTGGCAGAAGGAAAGTGAATGAGAGTTTAAATATACAGCGGCAAAAAAAGGGGGAGAAGAAAGTTCACTGTGATAGGTCAGAACGTGGAGGGGCGGAGCTAGGGTCAAGCTGTGAACAGAGACATAACATTAATCCCATCTGGCGTCAAAGTGCCGTAAGTCAGGATAAGTCTGTGTTCCAAATTGACCCGGTTGGCGGTGTTCGTGCTAGCCACAATCGCACTAATTGAAAAGTCCGCCTTGCCAGTGGCCTTAAAGCAGGCGTCTCGTGGGGTTGTTTACTTTGAATGGCTAAGACTTTTTATTTTTTTATTCTGGGCCGGTAGATGACAGAATTTTGATATTTCAACCAGGTGCAATCTATGTTTACTTAGGTGCAATCTATGTTTACTTAGGTGCAATCTATGTTTACTTAGGTGCAATCTATGTTTACTTAGGTGCAATCTATGTTTACTTAGGTGCAATCTATGTTTACTTAGGTGCAATCTATGTTTACGTCCAAGCTAAAAAAAAACTGGTATGCGGATGGTACTTTTAAAATGGAACCACCTTTATTTGAACAACTGTGTACAGTGTACATGGCTTATGCGACCACACTTCAGTGCCAATTATTCGAGGATGCTCATTTCACTTCTGCCAGTGTATCTATGGACATTTGCAAACAAATTTCTTGAAGCTAAATAACAACCCTGACCCCGAATTTGCATTAAGTATACGAATGTTATATGCTTTAACACTTGTTCCTACACAACATGTGGTAGAGTATTTTGAGTTACTTTGCAACATAAATATTTTGACCCTTGAAGCTCAAGCAGTTGTTGACTATTTTGAGGACACATGGATCGGTCGACCTAATTATAGTCACCGTCGTCCACCTCGATTTCCCCTTCATATGTGGAATTGCTTTGATGCTAGTCAAAAACCAACAATGCACTTGAAGGTTGGCACAGGGGGTTTCAGGACCAAGTTTGTGCTGACCACCCCAACATTTGGAAATGTATAAGACCTATCAAACTTGAGCAAAGTTTTAATGAACTTCGTATTGAACAATACATCAGTGGTCACGAGCCTCCTATAGGAACAAAACAATATAGAGATTTAGCAGAAAGACTTACCCGCATTGTCAATTCTTTTGAACCCAATATTCAGGTTGAGCACTATTTACGTGGAATATCACATACTATTGCCTACTGATGTGTGACTTTTAAATAAATGAGCCAATAATTACTATAGAATTGTTTGATTATATTTATATATCATATACTAGGTATTTCCCGTGTGGCCTAAGCCACCAAAACTCAGCAGAATACTGAGACTTAAAAAAAAAACCTCATTTATAACAAAACACATTTAAATATATGCAAATTATCGTCTTTAAATCCGGGATATTTAATGGCAAATAATATTTCGAGTAAAATGGCGACCATCTTTCAGAAGCTTTCCTTGCTGTGGGCTTTCTGTAATGTGGACTTTTATATGTGTTGCGTTGCTTGAACAGGACAATGCGACGTAGATCTGACCATGTGAGAATACTGCAGCCTGTAGATTGATACAGACGTGATCTAATGTTTGCCCTTGTGATTTGTTTATCGTGATTACATTAGCAGGAATGATGGGAATTGTCGAAGCTTCAGAATAAATGGTAGTGTTGTATCTGATGGAGCCAACTCAATTATCAGAGTCAAAACAATGTGCCAACGTTTGCACTCTGGCATGATTTCAGTTCTTATGAAACTGATTCAGCTGCTTCACGATCATGCGAGTTCCATTGTACAGTTCCTCTCTGTGGATTCACCTTACGCAGCAACATAACTATTACTCCAGGTTTTAGTAGCAGAACGTTTAGATTATCATTGTCAACAGCATCAGTTATCAAGGTAGAAGCATCTCTTGTTTAGATTATCATTGTCTACAGCATCAAATATCAAGGTAGAAGCATCTCTTGTTTAGATTATCATTGTCTACAACACCAGTTATCAAGGTAGAAGAATCTATTGTTTAGATTATCATTGTCTACAGCATCAGTTATCAAGGTAGAAGCATCTCTTGTTTAGATTATCATTGTCTACAGCATCAGTTATCAAGATAGCAGCATCTCTTGTTTAGATTATCATTGTCTACAGCACCAGTTATCAAGGTAGAAGAATCTCTTGTTTAGATTATCATTGTCTACAGCATCAGTTATGAAGGTAGAAGCATCTCTTGTTTAGATTATCATTGTCTACAGCATCAAATATCAAGGTAGAAGCATCTCTTGTTTAGATTATCATTGTCTACAGCATCAGTTATCAAGGTAGAAGCATCTCTTGTTTAGATTATCATTGTCTACAGCATCAGTTATCAAGGTAGAAGCATCTCTTGTTTAGATTATCATTGTCTACAGCATCAGTTATCAAGGTAGAAGCATCTCTTGTTTAGATTATCATTTTCTACAGCATCAAATATCAAGGTAGAAGCATCTCTTGTTTAGATTATCATTTTCTACAGCATCAAATATCAAGGTAGAAGCATCTCTTGTTTAGATTATCATTGTCTACAGCATCAGTTATCAAGGTAGAAGCATCTCTTGTTTAGATTATCATTGTCTACAGCACCAGTTATCAAGGTAGAAGCATCTCTTGTTTAGATTATCATTGTCTACAGCATCAGTTATCAAGGTAGAAGCATCTCTTGTTTAGATTATCATTGTCTACAGCATCAGTTATCAAGATAGCAGCATCTCTTGTTTAGATTATCATTGTCTACAGCACCAGTTATCAAGGTAGAAGAATCTCTTGTTTAGATTATCATTGTCTACAGCATCAGTTATGAAGGTAGAAGCATCTCTTGTTTAGATTATCATTGTCTACAGCATCAAATATCAAGGTAGAAGCATATCTTGTTTAGATTATCATTGTCTACAGCATCAGTTATCAAGGTAGATGCATCTCTTGTTTAGATTATCATTGTCTACAGCATCAGTTATCAAGGTAGAAGCATCTCTTGTTTAGATTATCATTGTCTACAACACCAGTTATCAAGGTAGAAGAATCTATTGTTTAGATTATCATTGTCTACAGCATCAGTTATCAAGGTAGAAGCATCTCTTGTTTAGATTATCATTGTCTACAGCATCAGTTATCAAGATAGCAGCATCTCTTGTTTAGATTATCATTGTCTACAGCACCAGTTATCAAGGTACAAGCATCTCTTGTTTAGATTATCATTGTCTACAGCATCAACTATCAAGGTAGAAGCATCTCTTGTTTAGATTATCATTGTCTACAACACCAGTTATCAAGGTAGAAGAATCTATTGTTTAGATTATCATTGTCTACAGCATCAGTTATCAAGGTAGAAGCATCTCTTGTTTAGATTATCATTGTCTACAGCATCAGTTATCAAGATAGCAGCATCTCTTGTTTAGATTATCATTGTCTACAGCACCAGTTATCAAGGTAGAAG